AAAAACTCGCTGGACGAAACCGTCCTCCAATCGGCTCTCAAATGGGAACAGAGGTAAATATATAGGGTGTTTTAAAATTTAAAAGAGAAAGTTATTCAATATTCAATTCAATAAAAAGTATATATTTTTCATCATTTTAAAATTGTAACTGATGTCAAGATAAATTGAATATTATATTGGAGGAATAAATATTGTGAACTTTTCAAATCGAAGATATCCGAAAAAAAGATTTAAATAATAATTTTTCTTTACTTTATTACACGTGATCAAGATTTGATAATAATATTACTGCTTGATTTATTTGAAATTCTTCCAAACTTAAGATAATGACATCAACTACTACAATAAGTACCAAAGGATCCAAAATATATAGTATTGATAATATTCCATAAATTGAAAAATTGAATGAATTGCGATTCAATCTATAAACTTTTCTCTAGGTTCATTGATTTTATGAAAAAATGGGACGCCAAAGAGAGGCCAAAGTTTATGGATGTCGCATATACGACGGAGAGATCAATCGAAGATGAGTTGGAACGATCATCGAGAGCAGAGGCAATAACAGTGATGATCAGTTATGTGATAATGTTCGTATATGTGTCCTTTGCTCTGAGCGAGATAAAATGTTCCGTGAAAGAATATTTCGTAAGTTTCTTTTGATTCAAAATGTATTTCTCGAGTTGAATCGAATTTCTCATAATCGATTTCAGGCAAACAGCAAAATAATGTTGAGCGTGGGAGGTGTTGTCATTGTAATAGCGTCGGTTGCCTGCTCTCTTGGTATATTTGGTTACGTAGGAGTGCCAACGACACTCCTCACCATCGAAGTGAGTATCGAAAAATATCGAATGTAAAATAATTTTTTCTGTATAAATTCTGTGTAATACGTATGTATAATACGTATTACAGGTAATTCCATTTTTGGTATTGGCTGTGGGCGTAGACAATATTTTTATTTTGATTCACACGTACGACAGAAATATAAAATGCGACGACGAATCCATACACGAACATGTTGGAAGAATCTTGGGAGAAGTTGGTCCGTCGATGTTACTCACCAGTATATCCGAGTGTTTGTGTTTTTTGATTGGTCAGTATTTATAGTTTGATTTTCATAATCATAATTCGATTGTTTAATTCATTGTTCATATATATCGAATATCTACTATAATTCTTATTTTTAGGAACATTATCGACAATGCCCGCTGTAAATACTTTTGCACTCTATGCATCGGTATCGATCTTGATCAATTTTCTATTGCAAATAACAGCTTTTGTCTGCCTTTTGTCGCTCCACGAGCGAAGATTCGAGGTAAGATTTCGGCATGTATTTATTCTAAAAAAAAAGAAAAAAAAATTTTCAAATTTTTTAACGAAATTCACTTCATATTTCAGAAAAGATATTTCGATGTGCTTTGTTGCTTGAAAACGAAAAAGGATAATTTTATAATCGAGCAAAAATTCAATGTTGTCCATACGATTTTTGAACGCTATTACACGCCATTTCTTATGAAAACACCGGTCAGAATAATCGTATTGGTAATATTCTTCATTTCTCTGATAATGCATATTGTAATAGTGCCGCAAATTGGTGTAGGATTGGAGCAAAAACTTTCGATGCCCGAAGATTCTTACGTTTTGAAATACTTCGAGGTAATGTTCTACTTGTATTCGTATGTGCATATAATTTACAAATACTTACGAAGAGATATTCTATAACAATAATGGCAATGACGTGATAAAAGATCGATCGATTTCTTTTTCCAGTTTATGGATGATCTTCTATCGATGGGTCCACCTGTTTATTTTATAGTAACGCCTGGATTGAATTATAGCAATCCTATGGTACAAAATATAATTTGTGGTGGTCAAGGATGCAACAGCAATTCTCTCTATACTCAAATTTATTCGGCATCTAAGCAACCTGCAGTGTTTGTATAATATTTTATACGAATTAATTTTTAACATTGTTCATTCGATTCCATTGCTAATCAAATTATCCAATCGTAGATCGTATTTATCGAAAGCAGCTTCATCTTGGTTGGACGATTACATAGATTGGTCGCAGATTTCCGATTGCTGCAAATATTTTAAAGCAAACGAATCATTTTGTCCACACTCGCAATGTAATTATCGCCAATTCCCACATATTTCATAACATTTTAATTTTCAAAATTTATTTATTATATTATATTTTATCGTAGTCGAAGAATGCAAAAGTTGTAAAATCAATATTACAAATTACAATCGGCCGACCGCGTATGATTTTCGAAAATATCTGCCTTATTTTCTTCAAGATATCCCGGATGAAAGATGTGCAAAAGCTGGTCGAGCGGCATATTTTGATGTAAGATTTTTATCTTTTAATATTTTAGAACTGTTTCACAATGGAATTACACATACGTATCTATCTAATTCCTTTTGTTCTCTCATCGACATTTTTGAAATCATTATTTATACAAACTCGCAGGCGTTGAATTATAAGACGGATAAAAACGGATTAATAGATGTCAGAGACAGTTATTTCATGGGATATCATACCCCGTTAAAAAAATCATCGGATTGGTACGAAGCTCTAAGATTTGCCAGAATGATTGCGAATAATATTACAACTATGATAAATAATTTGGCACACGAGGATGTAACTGTATTTCCATATAGGTTTGTTCATATTTTATTATTATACTTTCATACATTTTGAAATATTTATTCTTCAATTTTGTAAAATTCGATTTTTTTTTGGATTTCTTCTACTTTATCCATTGCATATATTGTAATGTAATGAAAATTATGGTATTTTTTTATTACAGTGTATTTTACGTGTTTTACGAACAATATCTTACGATATGGAGAGAAACATTAATTTCATTGGGTTACTCCCTTTGTGTCATTTTCGTAGTGACATTGATTCTAACATTTTCCTTATTTTCGGCTATAACGGTACTATTGACAGTATGCATGATCATCATAAACATTGGCGGACTTATGTATTGGTGGCATATAGAATTAAATGCAGTTTCTCTTGTCAATTTAGTCGTGGTATGGTAACACAAGAATACATATATATATTTATATAGCGCTTATTTGCTAATAATGAATTACATAAAAAAAATAAAGAATTAAATTCGATTAAAATTTCAATTTTACACTTATAGTCTGTTGGTATATCTGTGGAATTTTGCAGTCACATTATACATTCGTATTTAAAATCAAAGAAGGAAACTAAAATTGAACGTGCATCTGAATCGCTTAATCGTATAGGAAGTTCGGTATGTACAATAATTTGCGTAGTATTTAATATTTGTCAATCTCAATCTTCGAATTAATAATATTCTTTTTTTTTTTTTTCGTTATAGGTATTCTCCGGAATTACTTTGACTAAAATTATAGGAATCGTGATACTGGCGTTTGCTAAAACTCAAATTTTTGAAGTATTCTTTTTCCGAATGTATCTAAGTATTGTAATTTTCGGTGCTGCGCATGGTTTGATATTCTTACCAGTATTATTAAGTTTTATAGGTAAATAAGATAATATTACGACACTTTTACATACATACAAACACACATATAATATATATAACATATGCATATTGCAGGAGATGACCAAATCAAAGGAAAAAAAGAAGAAAAAGATATCAATTAATTCTTAATAATAAAACCGAATGTACAGAAATTTCACTATTCATCTATAATTTATTTTTATTATTATTATTAAATTAAATTAACATTGTTATAAATATATAAATTAACATTGTTTTTTAACAATATTGATCGATATTTTTCTATTATATATTTATATATATAATTAATCTTACCTTACCTTAATTAAAAATGATCTAACCTAATATTAAATTTAATTAAAAAGAAAAATATCTTATCTAGAGATACAATTTGAGACATCATTAAAATATAATCTATTGATTTAATTTATTAGAATTTTTCCTGCCTTCAAAGTTATAGTAGCAATCAGCAAATATACATACACCGCATAATCTGCATGAAAAAAGAAAATAAATAAATAAAACTTTAAAATAAATGTTTAAAATAATATTAAAATCGATTACATTAAATAAAATTAATAATCAAACTTAAAAATTGTTCTTTAAAAGTCAATAATGTAAACTATCTATCATTCTAACAATCAAATAGATGAGTGAAAAAAAAAAAGAAAAAAAAATAAGTTAATTGCTAAAGAATTATCAATTATGGTAATGTTATGGTAATGAAAAACTTATTGAATAAAATTATTAATTAAACAATAGTATAAGAATAATATATAAAAATAATATATAAAATAAATATAAAAATAATACGTACTACGCATAAAATAGATTATACAATATACGTCTTATACCTGCGACTTTCGTCAGTGGAATAACACGCGGATTGCGATTTTGTTTTGATATCGACTATCGAATTGGAGAGGGGATATTTACTCGACAGTTCGATACAAGCAGAGCGAATACGAATGCAAATTTCTAAATTTTGTCTATATTATAAGAAATATTTATAGCTTTGAAGATAATATAAAAATATACAAATAATATATGAGTTTATTATAATATATAGATAAACATATTTCGAATAGATATGAAATTGAACTATAAACTAAATAATTTAATCATTTAATTTATAATGAATTTTTTTGCAAAATTATTATTGAAATTACTACTTTTTTTTATTTTACTTTCAGTAAAATAAAAAAACAATAAAAATCTATATTTCTAATTTTGTTAAAATAAAACAAATCTTGTTAGATTTGTATAAAAGTTATCTATTACTTTTCGTAAAATATTCATGTTATAAGTCATTAAACAAGATTTTAATATTTGATATTGACAATTAACATCCACCTTGAAAAGAATAATTAAATTTTTCTTTTGAATTTGAAATTGCCGCTACATCATTATCGTCTTTGTCACCGTTACTGCGAGCAGCACTGTGCAGTATGGTGCATGTCACTTGCACCAGTCGGTCGTGAGAAAGGGACGGAACAAGTATCGTGGGAATATGGCGGCGCATTAGAACATGCCACAGTGATGCAGTTAACGCGCAACGAGATCGTTCGTATCAAGTGACCAAAGAAACCGTGGCCTCGCACGCTAAAAATCCGTCTGGCCAAATGACATGGGAATTTGTAATCGAAGGCATTTCCTATTGACAATATGCATCTTACAACTCGTGAGTGTCATCGAAAGAAAAATGTTTTATTTCCCGATAAAGGAAATTGTCATCATCCTGTGACACGCTCAATTCTCATTTTTCTTGCGCTGACTCATAGCTTGATATTCTCACGAAAAGATTTGGTTGCTGGAAAGATTTTAATTATTAAATATTTTTTAAGAATTAAAATATATTGCATTACGGTTTGTTACGCGTAAACGAACCGTACGATTTGAACGATTTTATCGACGATATCGGACCTCGATGAAACAATTATATTTACTCGATTATCGCATCGCTTTATCGATCCATGGGTCGCGTGGTTTATCTCTGTAAAATAGAGATCCTCGAATAGAAACTGGGCAATCCATTTAACACCACTTTTACTATTTACTTTCTAAGCGCTTTCTTGTCGATTGGCGTCGATAGAATTCTACATTGCATTACGAAGATGTTTTTTGCAAATTAAAAAATTCAATAGATAAGGAATGAAATGCAATAGATGCAAACACAATACATTAATAAAATTTGTAGATTCAATGTTATTGAGTAATCATTTTTATTAATTTGGCTTTAATAAATTGAAAATTTGAATAATCGAAATAATGGATCATTATTTAAAATAAATTTTTTACTTAAAAGCAAGCGAAGTAGTGAAATAGTTCATAAACATTCATATTTGGAGCATCAGATTAATTGGGTATTTAGAACACAGAGTAATTGATATAGATTAAGAACACAGGCAAAATAGAGTTGACAGAAATTAAAGAGATTAATATTAAGATATTTTTAGTTATTTTAATGATTTATTAAATTTAAATAGAATTGTTAATTTCTGTTTGTAGATCACTACAGTAGAACGTCAGGTCTTCGACTTTCTGGGCTTTATGTGGGCCCCGATACTGGTCAATTTCTTTAACATTATATTTGTAATCTTAGGATTTTTTGGAGCTTTTCAATATAGACCAAAATATATTATATCTGTAAGTGCAATTTTATTTTAATATCTTGTAATAAATAATTAATAATAAAAGGATAATTATCTTTATATTAAACTTATTTCAGTACTGTATATGGAATACACTGTGGTTGGGATGGAATATATTTATGATATGTTTCTATCTTAATGTAGGTGTATTGGATAAAGTAAGTATTAATTTTTTATATAATTTTTTTCCTTTTTTTATAATTTGAATCAATTTTTAATTATATTATATGTAATTAATCTTTCAGAATAGTGATATTTTAAATCTTGGTACTGGTAGTTTTTCTTGGTGGCATGTCAATGGACCAGGTTGCAAAGCTATTTATGATGTTACTGAACCAGAATTATTTCGACCTGCCCGACCTACAAATGTAACAGATTGTGTACTAGATTATGAAATAGTTGAAATTTTACACGCATCTACTCAATGCATCTTAGGTGTAAGTTATCAATTTTTACAATTTACCATATCATAATTTATCATGTATTAATTATAAACACATTTAAAATAATACTTTTCTTTTATTCCAGTTTATTGCAATAGTTGGTGGTATTTATCTAAGTAAAGTTTTTTTGGAGGAAGATGATAGCTGTAAGTATAAAACCCATAGATCTTTTTTTTTTTTTTTTTTTTCTTTATTAATTATCAATTAGTATAAGTCAAATTAGTATAAGAATTAGTTTGCAGAATGAGAATTTTATTTTGAATTTTATCTCATAATATCATTCTGTGGTAAATTTTATTCTAGTATCGGTAAATGAGATCTAGGAACAATATTCTAAATTTTATTCTTCATTTTTATAAAATCAAAAAAAAAGAAAAACGTGCAATGATAAATCTTTTTATCATAAAAATCATATCAAAACAATACATTTCTCTATGGAAAAAAGTTATGATAAATTATCCTGGGTATCTTTTTCTTTTTTTTTTTTTTTATTTAATTAAGTAAGTTTAAGATTTATTATTGCTTGAAAAAAGGGTTGTCGGTTACAGTTGATTTCATTGGTGGATTTGATCCTCCACTTTGGTAAGTGCTTTGCCTGATTCATGGTTGCACGCATTTGCTCCTTTTTTTAAAGCACGAAGTAAAATAGTTTCTTTCATGCGCACCTATTTATTATTCTCGTTATTCATCGATTCTTTTGCGAATGTATTGTAAAATAACTTCTATCGAGCTTGGATATTACGCGGTTCCATTTCTGAATTCATTGATACAGCATGTTGCAAAATAGATATAAAAAATTATAACATTGGCCATGTCGAAATGAAACTTAAGTATCAAGTATACCACCTAAGTTAATTCTATTCAAAAAGAATTACTAAGCTCATGCCACAGACACAATAAAATCCGATCTAATGCAATCGATTCTACGTCATATTTCAGTTGACTTTGTGGGAGGTGATGACTTTGGGTTGGCAGGCCACACGCCGTTGCATCCTATGTACGTTAGCTACTCGGCTCTTCCATCACCTGCCCACCCTCACAAAAATTCCGCTCAAAATTACCCCGCAGGCACAGCTAGCTCTCATCAATCCGTTTGTCACGATACCAGCTTCCCAAAACATAACGATAAAACGTTTAACAGCTCTGGACGAAGTAAATGTAGCTTCAGAAACGACACGATCAAAACTGATCGAACCAATCTGTCCAATCGCGACTTGAAGTACGTTGATTACTCGAACGACTATTCGAATCCGTTGGATCATTTGCAAAGGCCTGTGTCCCCTTATGACGAGTACGATTCGTTGGACAGTGCCGCTAAATTAAAATATCAAAAAAACAAATTGTATTATCCGCACTCGTCCAAGTATAGTCCCGTTGCATCACCGTGTGTCAAGTCTCGACCTGCCGCTGCAAAGCAAAATAAAGCCTCCAACAAGCCTAGAGTCTTTATCGATCATGTTCGCGAACAGCCGATGAGGTCGTTTTATTCTGATCCGAGATTGGCAATTGAAAATCAACAGAATGTGAATGACCAAGAGAAACAGAATAGGTCTAAAAGAGACAGTAGACCTTTATCTTTATATGCCAGTAATTTTTAGATTGTTAGGAATCAGAGAAATATCGTAGTTATTATTTTATTTTATTTTATTATTTTTTTTTATATATATCAATTGATTCGAGGTTCGACTCGTTTTAAAAATATTTTTAGAAAATTAATATATACTTAATTAATATATTTTAAACCTAAGTAACTATCTTAATTATATGTCATAATTTTTCTACATATTACACGTTCGTACGATATTATTTTTCGCAAAATTTTTAATTTGTGACGATTTCTTTTTAAAATGTATCGAGAAAAGATTTTTTTTCTTTTCATCACTATTGCGAAGTAGGACGCGTATTATGTCGGCCTCAAATCGATTAGAAGAACATATGGACTGAGGTTATGTCTATTTTTTTTTTTTTCTTTCTTTAGCGAATTCGAAGATGTAACATAGAATTCCTATCCTTGCCAAATAGATAGAACGATTAGAGAGTAGTTAGTTTAGGGTGCTTTCTCCGATTTGATTGATTTCTTCTCGTTTAGTCTAAAGAGAATATTTTTTTTAAATCAGTTTTTAACATCACAGTAACGCGTAATAATTTTTACTATTTCTCTTTTTTAATATATTTCGATCACGTTTTCCTCTAACGTGAAATATATATATATATATATAATGTGTGTTCAGTAGCATTTGCTTTGTTCGTGTTCATATTAATTCTTTTTTTTTTCTTTTTTTTTTATTTTTTAACTTTACATTTGCTCATAGATATTTCATAGATATACGATTTTTATCGTATTCGTAACAATGCATTTTTATATCGATACATGCACTGTGATACGTATATAGAATATTATATATGAATCGTGTTATTTGAAATTTGTTTTATTCGAGCTTTTTTTATATATATATATATATCGTTAATCGTGTAACTTTTGAAAAGTTGTGTTCGATGGAAGAGTTTTTTGATATTGACATGACGAAATATTGCATTTTAAAAGTAAAATATATATAGCATGAATGGATGATACGATTTATGTCATGTAAAATTTTCACGAATACAATAGTAGAGTTGTTCTTTTTCTTTTTCAATATATCTATTTTTTTTCTCTCTCTCTCTCTCTCGTTACACGAATGGTACTTATTAAGAATTTCTTTAATGATGCGCGGTAGCCTGGCTTATAAGAAATAGCATCTTTCGATAGAAATCTTTAGACTGCATTGAAATTAGCTTGTAGTATTCGCGACACGATGAAGAACTTTGTTTACGATACTTTATATGTAAGGTGCTGCGAAACATTTCTTCATTTCAACGAATGTGTCTGAGTGTTTGGTAAATGCATGCTAGTACTTGTTTTTTTCTTTTTTTTTTTTTTCCTAAGTTCGAAGTTTTTATTTTATATTTTCTCCATTTCTTTTCGACGATCGCGTACGTTTTTTTTTTTTCTTTTTTGCATATTTATGAGAATATGGAATTGAAAATTTGTAAGATATCGCGTATACGAAATATACTTCTGACATTCCATGGATCGATTAACGAAGGATGTTTAACATCGAAGTGATGAAGTGAATTCTGAAGTGACAAAAAAAAAAAAAAAAAGAAGAAGAAGAAGAAGAAAGGATCTTTTACGGACAATCTTTATTAAAATTAAAATATATTTTAGAATATTTTGATAATTTGATAGTTCAAGATTCGTTCGAAGATAAAAAGTCCAATTACGAAAGTGATGAGTAAAAGAAATTTTACGAGCTATTCAAAGATCGCGTTGAAGCGAAAAAAGTTCCAGCAGGAAAGAGGGGAAAAAAAATTCCGCTTATTCGTCGCTTTACATTCTTTTAGGCGTAATAAAACGAATATAAAACATGATCGAGTAAAACAAACAAAAAAAAAAAAAAAAAAAAAAAAAACAAAATATCAATTTATTATCTGTTTATAAATGATTTGATCGACTTATTAATGTTATAGATCGCGCTTTGCGCACAATGATCGATCGATGAATATTTAATGCGATCCGATAATAGACAATAATTATAGACGATCGTATGTGTTCTCAGAATTGTACGGAAAAAGAATTATATACGTTTTGTCGCAATGAATCGTTCCTGAATAGTTAATTTTTATAACGTTAAACATCCAGGTATATATAGCGATTATATAATAGAACAACACACTTGCATACCCATGTAATAATGAATTTTTCTCATCATATCTGATTGGACTTGGAAAGAAGAGCTTGTTTGATTTTGTGCGTTTAATGCATCTTTATTTAATAAGTGTAATTTTCGTTAAGAAAATTTTCTTCTACAACGAATCTATACATATAGTATATATTCTTATTCCCAAAATTATGTTTATATATATGTCGCATACGTTAGATTCGATTCAATTATTAATCAGACGTATAAATTGCTCATTAAATGTACATATTTACGTAATTTATTTTATAAGTGTGATAGAGAGTTTTTTCATCGTATATAGATAAATTTTATTAGTCGAATATATATATATATATATATATATATATATATTATACAATAATAATATTTCAAATCGAATATTTATAATGTTAACGAGTCACTTCAGATAAGGTTATCGACAATGTGTGTGTGTATGTGTGTGTAGTGCTAGACGATCGAAGATTTCCTTTATTTTTTTTTTTTTTTTTTTTCTTCCCTTTGTCGAAGCTTGTACAGTAGTGTCGTTTTTTTTTTTTTTTCACTGTACTTTTGTTAAGGCCGTAGATTTTAATTTTATAATTTATTTTACTGTATCATATATAATTTACCTTATTTGGTGCAGTTCATTGGCGACAATAAACGTGCAATGCCTACTACTTGCTTGCTTTTTTATTTATTAACCCCCACTCTTTTCTTTCATTCCTTCTCTCTGTAACTAATTCTCCTCCTGGTATTCTTTCATGGAATTTTTCGGGGAACTACTTTTATTATTATTATTATTATTATTATTATTATTATTATTATTATTATTTTCAGTGTTTTTTGTCCCTCGATTAATACTTCTTCTCTTAATTCGAATCGAATTAAACGTTAAACGGTAAATTTCGTCGAGAGGTATATGGTTGATCAAATTATCGAGGATAAAAAATCGTTGTTAGGAATTAAAAAAAAAAAAAAATTAATATTCATCAAAATTCGGAAAATTTCGTTCTTACCCATGCATGTAAGAATTCGATCGCTTCGATCGATTTTCTCTTGTACAACTGAGGATTTATATTAATATTAAATAACACTATCTTTTAACAGTTTACACCACTCGACTCAAAAAAGCGTCCAATCTCATCTTTACGGTTTGTGCTTGGACAAACACGCGAATGAAACATCAAAGAGGATCGTATAAAAAGAATAATCTAAATTACAAATTCGGACGAAACACGAATAAAAATGTATTTTTTAAAAATGTATTTTTATCCCAATTTTCACGCTCCAACCGAACGAACGAATCACTTGACGATCCGATGTCCAAGCACAAACTCGATCTTACATCCCCCCCCCTTCCGTTAAAATCCTGTGCTAACTGGGCCTTCGTTTTTTGTCTCGAACGCAGCCCAAGCTAAACGGAAGAAGAAGCAGCCGAGGCCGTTGTACAGCATCGAGTACTCGCAGCCGGAACCGGCGATCCACGACGACAGCGTGTCCCCAAAGCCGATGACGCCTCGAAGAGTGAAGAGGAGGTCCGTGATCTCGCGCGACGGGACGAGGAGGTCGAGCAGAAGGAGCTCGGTGAGGCAGTCGCGCAGGAAGAATCCCGTGAACAGGATAATGGACCACCAGGAGAGCCTGTACGCGAACACGACCGCCAGCAATCTCACTAATCAGAACGTGAACTCGTTGTCCCAGGGCACTCTCAACTACGACCGTATCTCGATGAGTTGGGACAGGGACAGGAACTCGAACTGGCAGCCGGAAGCTGTCAACATGGCCGTCTCCTCCCCCGCGCTGTGGAACAATAATCATCATCCTCATCCTCATCATTCTCATTCTCACCACCACCACCACCACCAGCACCCTTCGAGCCAACAGGATTCGTCGAACAATTACTCGAACGGGAGCGGCAACGATTACACGGCCGCGGGCCAGACTTATCCCAATTGGGACGCGAACAGCTCGACCAGAAACCTGACCGACAATTGGCAGCCGAGCGAGTTGAGCCCGATGCAGTGGCAGGGCCAGAGCAACCCCACCTTCCAGCAGACGAGCACCCAGAGCTTGAACGGGGAGGATTTGGATGACATTTACAACAATCGGCCGGCGAGCGCGAGGTCGAGTTACAGCAATTATCACGGGGTAAGGGCCACCCCCCAGGTTCCGAACAGGACCGATATAGTCAGGCAGAGCCAGAGACAGTTCGTGCTCAGCGGGCCTCCCGCTTATCAGGACACCGTGATATGAGGGAGAGGATGGATTCGATCAATCGAATAGAATGTTATTCAGTTAGATTCGGTTCTTTCGTTTTAATTTTTTGAAACACGAGGAGGAGGGGCTAAATATTAAACGTCCAATTCGAACGTGTAAAATTAAGTCTCTACTTTTTTTTTTTTTTTTTTTTTTTTTTGATGACTTTAATAATGGTTATTATATTCTTGTACTGTGTGTAATTGTTAAGTATAGGGAAGTATAGGGAAGTATACTTCTTCGAAGCTTTACTCGACACGTAACACGATGCAATTTTCTGCATCTTGTATTAATTCTTTGCGAAAGATCTCTCTCTCTCTCTCTCTCTCTCTCTCTCTCTCTCTCTCTCTCTCTCTCTCTCTCTCTCTCTCTCTCTCTCTCTCTCTCTCTCTCTCTCTCTCTCTCTCTCTCTCTCTCTCTCTCTCTCTCTCTGGTATTTTATTAACTATCGGAGGGACGAGTTATTACGCTAAGCGTTTTTTAAGCTTCGCCTTTTTTATCTCAGGACGTCAATTTTTTTTCCGATAAATGTTTAAAAAGTAAAAGTTTCTCTCCTGTATTTCGAAATATATTCGATAAGGGAAAAATTATATACGTTTTATATACACAAGGAAAAGAACTCGCGCTTTACAAATATTTTACAAATATATAGAACGAAGTTGTACGATACACTTTTAGAAACTTCTTTTTTTCTAATACGATAATAATTTTTAATCGTATCTATCAATCGATTAACTATTTTTCCAGAAGGATAAATATATCTGTAAATATTCATCATACGATCACACGAGCATATACTTATTTATATACTTTTCTAACGAGCCATTTTTTAAAAATGGAACGTTATTATACAATATTTTAGAAGAAACACAGACACAGAATTGTAATTCTTTTCTAAGCCTGTATTTTTTGAGAAATGAAATTTCAAATGGCGTACGCCATTTTGTATTCGTTATAATCTTTTATAAATAGTCTTCCGTAGGAGAATGGAGAGGAAGTTGTTATGAAAGAAACAATTGGAATTTTTCCGTGACCAATTTCATAATAAAAAAAAAAAAAAAAAAAAAAAAAAATCGATATACAGACTTTTGGTCGCTGGACAAATTCGTAAATGTTGTTTAAACGCTCTGAGCATGACAAGTGCAATAAGAGATATTTTTTCACGTGGAAAATCAAAATGTACCGCGTCGATGATAATGGGACGTGTGAAATGGAAACCAAAGTATTAAACATCGATGTGTAAGTTAATGTAATACTCGTAATAACTTTTTTTTTTTTTTTTGTAATGAGTGTTGTAAAACTGCCTCAACTCTTTTCGCCGACTGTCGTACAATCTAGGTTTAATTGATTGATTAATTAATTAATTAATTAATTAGGGCGATCGACTTACTGATCTTTCTTTAAGTACTTAATACTTTATTATTCGAGAATCTCCAAATATCGGTTCATCGATCACACACGTAGTCTCCTAAGGTTATTTAAGGTTATTACAACTATTATGTAAGGTTTATTCAAACGAATAAGTTCGATGAACAGGGTATTTTGATTATATATATATATATATTTTTTTTTTCTTTCTAGAAAAGAATTTTAAGGTTAAGTTTGTCCAAGCAGTTCTGTTATTATACGATTCGATCGTCTCTTGATTCGAATTAATTTTTAACGATCGAGACGATGTTATATTTCAGATACGAATATTTTTGTAGAATTTTACACGAATCTCTAGATCTATATAATCGCGATACCGTGCAATGGAAAATATAAAATATAGCAAGAATTGTTATCGTGTTGAAATCATTGTGTTTTATCTTTTTAAAAAGATCAAGATTTAATTTTCGCCTACGAAAAGTCTAATTAAGTCCAATTAAGTTTATACGATTTTTCTATTTCGAAGTTTAAAATTCGAAATTTTCTTCTTCCTTTGCACAGTATTATTACAATTGTATAATTGTATACTCTGTTTATTAAGCGAAATGTATATCGTATAAGTATATCGTTATTTAAAGGCAGCTAGCAGTTCAATTAATTACGAAGACACCGGTAAGACTCAATACCACCACCAGCTTGTACTTATATTGTTTTTGATTATTCACGCTCAGGATTATACACGATTTATCATCGTTTGTAATGTTTTACTACTTTGCGACCATTTGTACAATTGTAAACACGAAGCAATAATTGCAAGACAATAAACGAAAAATAATTCAGATTCAATGGTTCAGAAATTTTATTTTCTTCGCCAATGGTTGATTTGTTTCGTGTTATCTCCATCAAAACTATTTTTCAGAAGAGGATAAGTGGAGGAATGATAGAATAAAGGCTCTGGAAAGCTTTCGAGTTTTATCTAGATTAAACAAGGAACAGTTGCCAGTAATGAAAAAAGATACATTTTTATGGGTATTAAAATAGATATTGATTTCAATTAAAGTGATAAAGAACGTTATCAAGCGAAAAGTAAAGAAAAAAATTTAAATCTCTAATCGCTTTTTCTAGTACAAGTGCTGATTTACTCTTAGTTTCAAAGTATATTCATTAAAATCTACGATTAAACTCGAACGATTCTTTCAAATTGTTTTTATTTTAGTATAATTTTCTCTTAATCACGA